CCAGCGGCACCGTGGAGCTGTTGGCGGGCCAGGGCACATCCAGCCGGTTCCAGGGCACGTCCCGCCCGGGCCATGCCGCCCTGGGCGCCGCCATCTTCCCGCTGCGCACGGCGAGCCCCGGCGTGGGCGGCACCATCCGGGAGGGGAAAGTCGCGGACCGCACCAAGTCACCCCGAGGGGGTGCGTTGTGGCCCGGGGCTTGGCGCTGACGCACTGATTTCCCAAATATTTCCCAAATTTCCCTGCCATAAGCAGGAAGGGAAATCACTGTAAATAAATGTAAATGTAAATAAATGTTATTCACACTTTCTAAACCTGGCGATTCCCCATTGTGTGCCTCGGGAGGCCCTTGGGAGGCAGCGCAGCAGCAGCCGAGCTGCTCCGTGAGGCGGCGCCGGGGTGCTCCGGGGGTGGCCCCAGTCCCCAGCCCCTCAGCTGTGCCTTCCCGTGTCACACGCAACCCTCAAAGGGCTGGAAAAGCTGCGGGATTGGCTTCAAACCAGAAGCAATTCACATCCGAACTAGAGGATATAATCTTAAAATGCACCAGGGAAGGTTCAGGTTGGACATTATGAAGCATTTCTTCACAGAAAGGGTGCTCAGACATTGGAACGGACTGTCCAGGGAGGTGATGGAGTCACCGTCCTTGAGGGTGTTTAAGGAAAGAGCGGAGTGGCACTCGGTGCCAGGTGTAGCTGACGCTGGTGTTCGGTCACAGGTTGGTCTCGATGATCTCAGAGGTCTCTTCCCACCCAATTGATCCTGTGATTCTGGGATATCGGCGTTCTAAGCAGGAAAGGACCCACGCCCAGGTACCCGCCTGGCTATCCCGATCGCTCCATGTCACAGCCCCTGCTGTTGGAATTTGCTATGGCAGGGAGCCACTGCAGGTGCCCCATGGAGTTGATTGCTGTAATTTATTAGTGTTAATGGAATAGTTTCCTATCAAAATTATTTTGGTTGTGTTCTGAGTTCTCTTCCCTCAAGTACAAGACATTTCCTGCCTCTTTCCCTCCCTGCCTGAAGCTGAATGTACTCTTTCCCTAGTTGCAAACATTGGTGCAATTATTATATTTGTTAGAAACAAGGGAGTTAAATTAAGCACATTTTTGTACACTGTTACCTTCTCTTGATTCTATTTTTTTGTACACTTACTCTATGCTTTTAAGAAATCTCATACAAATACAGATACAGTCATGTCCCTTTAAAGAGACAGAGCAAAAATTTGCATTAATGGTTGCACCTGTAGGGAAGAGAGATAAGAGCAAACCCAGAGGTAGAACTGATAAAAAGCTGCTGTGAGTACTTGCCCAGCCTGGATAAAGGGAGTTTTAAGCTCCCTAGGCTGAGTGGAGTTTATAGGTGAAAGGAAAAATGGAGCCTCCAGGGTGTGAGCAGAGGATAACAAAGGTCTCTCTAGCTGACCTTCTGAGGTGTTTTGAACATCCTGTAAGCGAGGAGCAAGCCTGGGCTATCTGCTTTCAGTGTTGCAGAAGAATAGAGCAGGTGGCTCAGGGGCTGTGCACACCTCTCCGTTCTGTGTTCATAAAAGGTTCTGGGAGCATCTTTATCCATGCTGATGGTACTGCTTCCTTCAAGGTCTACCACAAGTCTGGTAAGAGCATAGGTATCTGCAGATGCTAAGATTTGTTTCCATAACAGGCTGAAATGTGAGGACAGAGTAAGGAAAATTTATTTTCCTCTGGTTTTTGGTTGTTTTTTTTGTTTTGTTTTGTTTTTCCGTTTCCCCTGTCTTTCCTATGTATGTTGTCCTGAAGCTCTTCTGCCTGTATTTCATTTCAGAGGACTGTAGATGAGTGGTAACACAGATGTATGACCTACTAATTTCTCTAGTAGTGCTATATGGAGTCATTTGGTTCTAGGGAATAGCTGTGATGAAAGCCTTATACCATTTATGTTATTTGAAATAAATAGTCTGAGGCTTTGTTATGTATACTGCTCTGTTCATCTTCCAGTGTAAGGTTCCTTTGTTATGGTAACTGTCACAGCAGATTTATGATTGATACTTTCCCCTTTTTTGGTCACTATGTGTAACCACCAAGTGGTAATAACTCTGTATTATGCAGGGCTGGGTTGGGCTGCAGCAGAGGTTAGTGCTAGGCTAATTCTTCAGAGACTAGAGTGGGTAGTAAAGAAGATTCTGTGCCTTCCCTGGAGGTTGGATATGAATTAGCAAACAACAAAATGCAGCAGCAGTTACTTTGGGCTAAAGCTCACAATAACATGAGTCTCCTATGTTGTTTTCCAGGACTACCCAAATACAGGCCCACCTACTTTCCCCAGGTGGGACTGACTTTTGTCAGAGGAGTTAGTTACCTTTACAATGCTTCCTGTTCCCCTCTCTTGAAAAGGGTTCTGGAAGCTGTTTATCAATGCCCTTACAGCTGTCTTTTTCCCTGACCCTTGTTTTTTCCCTTTCAGATGTTGGCAGCATTCAGCAATCAGAGGACAAGGTAAGCCTGTGTCTTTTCCTTCATTGTGTATGCAGATATAATCTTGTTGTAGTAGAAGGCCTGCTCAGGAGATGCAGATGTCTTGGGAAACTATCAAGGTGCCTGAATTTTCTGTGCCCTGTGAGAATGACTCCCCTGCAACCTGGAAAAGGAAACAAAACGCTTGACTGAGCTCAAGTAAGACAATGGGACTGGGAAACAATGTGAACAGATGTTGTCTTTTTACCCTAATAACAGATATCTTAGGGATGCCAGTTAAGGCCATTTAAAAACTTTAAATCAGCTTAAAGTGGGGGTATTTCCCATCCTGAGAGATGTGCTCAGTCTTCAGGAGCAGAGGAGGGAATGGCTGGAAAGTAAGCTGTGATGTTCCCCATAATGCTTTGTGCTGCACTGCTTCCTTGGTCTCTGTCTGCAGCTGTTGGAGTACTTGGGAGTGGTGATCTATGAAGCGCTGGACTGGGGAATCGACAGCCAAGTGGAGCGAGAACTGAGCGAGCCTTTGGAGAAACTGCTGTGCCTCATGTTGAAATTGAATGACGAGGCAACAGAACCACCAGTCACCCTGCAGGATGTTATCAAGGTTTCCTTCTTTCCCCTTAGTAAATGTTGCAACTTTAGAGGAGTTGATGGAACAGTGCTGTTGACCAAGAGGCAAGACCATTTCTGGGAAAAAGCTGGGCGGGCTGTTGGAGGACAGAGAGGGAACATTGGCTTTCCCATTAGAGGGAAAAGGCAGAATCATTTGAGATGTTTATAAGTGCCCATGGAAAAGAATTAAGAAGGAAGACTGAGCATGGCTCTCCCACAGCTGTGTCTACAAAGTCCTTCTGTACACAGTCTCCAAAATCAATACCTAGAACGCTATGGATATTGAAAAAAAATAATTTTCCATAGTATTTAGCTTCTGCAAAGTCTGGGATTTGAATGTCTCAAACAGATATTTTTCTCTATGCCATAATTTAAAGGTATGAGAAACTTCCCATCCCTTTGGATAGGATCCCTTGATCAGAGCAAGTGATTCCATTTGCTGTGGATTGTTGTTCTTTGAACTGGAGGCTTCCCCTTTCAGGTGCTTGTTTCAAAGCACGCCTTAGTGAAAACAAGATACACAAATTACACAGCTACTTCCATTATTTTACATAAAACATTGAACATCTTCTTTGTTCCTCTGTATCTGCAATAGAAAAAGAATATTAAGGGGCAGTGAAGAAGATGATTCTTAACCATGGATTGAGGAAAAAGAATCTTGCTTTATTCCATCCCACCATGGTTGTTGTTTTTTTTTAATTTCATCTTTTTTTAATCAGTGCACTTCTTTCAGGCCTGTGAGGAGCACTTGTCCAGGCCTTCTGAGGCTACCAGCCATTATGAAATGACCTGTAGGAGTCTGTTTACTGAATATGTAGAACTTCAAAAGCTTGTGACCATCATCCAGACCTCCAAAGAGGTATGTTTAGATTACCTATTAGCTGCTATTCCCTCTACCTTCACTCACCAAGTTCTAAAGTAACATTCTCATTGCACTAGAAATGGAGCACCTGGATGAAGTTCTGTTTTCACAATGTGAAGAGCTGCTGTCTCTGGACCATTTTTATTTATTGCAGCATTTGAAAGTTTAGGTGTTTGGAGCTTCTAGGCTTTTCAGATAAACATTAGTAATTTATGCTGGATAGATAGGAGATCACTGAAGAGTGTAAAGTGATGACCTTGTGCTTGCTTTTCTCAGAGATTGAGAAAAATGGATGTGGAAGATTGGTTGGAAAATCCCATTCAAAAGAAGAAAACCCGTGGTGTAAGAGATTTATTTTCTTCATTATGGGGGACTGTTTTGGTTTTTTTTTTGGTCAGGGTTAGCTTTCTGAGACTTTGCATTGATTCTTCTATGAAAAATAGAGCTTGAACAAAAATTAAACTTCTAGGCTGTTCAGGAGCCTGAGTAGTTAAAGACTTGTTTGCAAAACAAGCTGGGGAGTGAACTTGAAGTTAAACTATTTCATATGTCAACCTCACGTGGATTTCTGTTCTGCCCAAAGATTGTCTTTGTGGGCCAACTTAAACCACTTCTAAAAATGAAGTTGGAGGCAGTCTTTGGAGTGAATGCCCACAAGTAGTTACGCAGGCTGTTTCTTCCCGCAAATGAGCCCCAAATTCCAGCTCTTGGCAGGAACTGATACCTGCCAAAAGCCATCTGTTCCTTTCTCATAGCTGGAATGAAAGCTCCCAGAAAACTCTTCTGTTGTTGGTAATCCTGGGGTGGACTAGTTCACCTTTATTATGTGGTGTCTCTGTTGGTCAGGACTGGCAGGGGCTGAAGGCCAGTAGCACTGTCCATCTTTGTGAGTGAAGGAGGCTGAGATTTCACTCCTACCTTCCGTGCTCTGCCTTTCTTGTCTTTGCCTTCTGTGCTTCCATAGATGTTTGACTGTGTTTGGGGCAGGGAAGGCAACTTACTGTGCTTTTTTCAAGGCCCTACACAGTCAGGGCTCAATCAGAAACAAATAGCTCTTCAGGCTGGAGCTCTGCCCAGCATAAACAAACGCTCTATAGTCTGGAGTCTGTGGAGACAAACAGCAAGCCCCAAGAGACTTGTGGACTTGCTCCCTTTGTCTAAATAGCACTTGCTTTGAAGCGTGCTCAAACTATTTGTATGAAAATGTTTGTGAAATGTGTGTTTGGGCATATTCTCAATTTTGTGATCTATTAAAATAAACTGGCAAGCTATCTCAAACCACAAACTCATCAACTGCTATAGCTCTTTTCTGCAGGGAATACATGAATAAATACATGGGCTTTGCCGTGTGGCCTGAAGGCCAGTGTATTTGGCCTCTGCTCCTTCAGGAGGCATGAATTCCAAAAGCTGGATGTCTGTTGCGAATCCTCTGCCTCTGGTTTCCAAGTCCCTAAGCACCAGTTGATTGCACTACTCTGACAATCTCTTGAGTTTAAAATAACCAGGATGCCAGTTTCTCTAGGATCCCACAGGTTAGAGCTGATGTCTTGAGTGGTGCTAAGCAGCTAAAGTGCTCCATGTACCACACTTTTTCATGCAAAACAGAACTTCTGAAATGCAGACCACAGCCTGTGGTCAGATCACAGATACTGTGAAGTGCTGTACAATTTCAGCAGAGCTTATCTGTACATGTCCCAAGTTGATCTTCACCTTGAAATCTAAGCAGTGAGACCTATAAGAAACACAGCTCTCTTAGTGCTCACCTGTTGAACTCAAGGTAATGGGTTTAGAGTGTTGTAGCATTTTGTGTTGTACTGCATAGGTTGTGGAAAGTTTAGGTGGCTTTTGACAACACATGGGATGGCAAAAATAGAATAATTGCAGTGATCCAGTCAGTAAGGAAATAAAAGCATGAGTGATAATGGAACATCTGAAAAATGTTTTGGGTGTGTAAGTTGCTGTGAAATGGTCAGCTGAAGGCAATTCTTGTCCCCAAACTTATGTGGCAATATTACAGTACAGAAATCTCTCTTCAGGTCATGTCTCTCCATCAAGTTCCGTCACCATGTGAAACACAACTCTCTGAAGTGCAAATGTCTCAGTATAAGCTATTTCAAAAGTCTCTAGTACTGATGAGTTTGCCCAGAGACTTCTGTGTGTTCTCCCACACAGTATTAAATGTAGTCTAGGAGATATGGCAAGTGTTTGGTCATCCTTTGAGAGTTCTAGTTTTCTGGAGTTGAGTTATGACTACCAAATCCAGGCTAAAACAATCCAGCAAAAATATCTGTCTTCTTGAAGGCAGCCATCAGTCAGAGCTTGCATAAGACTCTTCTGGTATTATACCAAGATATCTGAAGGTATAGGTAGAGAGAAGATGCTTCATGCTGTAAGTAGAAAAGAGAGAGAAGCCTAAGTCAGATACTTTGTTCTGAGGCAGTTTTCTAAAATGTTTTGCTTCCCTTTCACTGTTTATAATACAATGACTTGTTCTTGCTCAATTTGCCACTGGGATCCAGATAAGCTGTTGATTTAGCACTTCCATTACAATGTTGTCTAAACATGCTATTGAGTTGATTATTTTTTTCCCTGTCTTTAACTTGTGTTGGGTTATACTGCATGCCTGAACATCCTCAGATACTAGTACAGAAACAGGATGAGCAGATGTCAGGGTTTTTAGTTTGTCTCTAGGCTGAGATGGCTAACCTATGCTGCTGTTAAGATCCCCTGTCTACTTGTCTTCCTCTTTTGTTTCTGGACACCTCAGCCCCTGGTTTTCTGAAAATTTGGAGGATTTTAATGGTGAGATTTGGGATTTCATTCCCAGTGTATCCTAGGATCCAGTAATATGAAAGCACTCTGGCACCTGGAGCACTTGCAGAAAGAAAATAGGTCTATTTATTTACCTGGCAGCAAAAGCTATATTTTGCTGAAGTACATCCATAAAGTTAATGACAAATTTTGGGAATGAGCCTGGTGAGCCAGCTATGAGTTTCCTTGTTGTAAATTAACTTCTGCAAAGAAAAGTAATTCTCCGGTTAGGTACTGCACCCTGATCTGGAAGTGAGGAGAAGGGCATGTTAAGGACACAGTTCTGTGTTTCTGAATGACTTTAGCTGCTAAATGTGCCCTGTGACATGCAGGGAGGAGGGGATGTTGCTCCATGAGTTCTAGCCAGCTACTGACTTGGCCCTTGCTGGTTTCTCCAAGGCATCTCTGTGGCCCAATGTCATCTGTGAACTGCAGACTGGTGTGAGGCTGCGCAAGGCCGCCGAGCGACCACAGCGTTGTGTGTCTCCAAAAGAACGTATTCGCTCTCCCTATGAGATGCTTTTGGATGACATTCAGCAGAAGAGGTACACCCTGCGGAAGGTGAGTGACTGGAGTCAACAGACAACTTTAGAAACATCCACTCTGCTTTGTTTCTGAGCAGTATGTGTTGAGACCTCTTCTCCAAAGGCATTTTTTCAAAGGTACATTGAAGTCCAGAAGTCTGGCATTCTCAGCTGCAGCTCAGTGTTAGATTACCCTGTTTGTCTACCCAAATACTTAGTTTCTAGTAATTTTTTAAGTCAGGAGTAGCCACAGTTTTGTGAATCAGCATAGTAAACCTCTTCTCCCTCCAGGGTCAACCACTGACTTCCCTGCAGCAGTTATTCTGCTCTGTGCACAACAGTTTCATGGAACACACTCTTGTTTCCTTGTGGTTTCCACCTTGGACACTTGTGGCCTTCCTTCAGCTGTGCCTGGCATCTTCTTGCTTTGCCTTCCCAGATGCTGTGGTGTGTATGCAAGTGCAGAAGCACTTTTGAGACAGTTCTCTGCTCTCTGCCTCAGGCAGAGGCCTTTGGGCAGTGCACTCAGCTACTGCAGGAATTTAGGGTAAAAAATGTTGAGCCCCTCACAGGGAGGGTCAGAGACTTCCACCTTCACCACTTGGTTGGTGAAGATGACCAGATACAAAAACGTCTGGGGTGTCTCTAAAGGCTTATGATGCTCTTTGCTTGCTGCAGCTTGAGCTGGGAATGATGAGCAGATCTAAAACATTGGCACAAGGCCTTGTGGCATTGGCGTGCTTTGCAAAAGACGCCTTGGCAGAAGATGAGACACAACTCCTCTTGTAATAAAGAGCGGTGTTACAAAAAGTGAAAATTTTGCATACTGCACTAGACATCAGCCTTTTTTCCTCTTTGTTGGTGCTGCTAGAGTTCAGCAGATTTAAAAGCTTCAGCTAAACCATGCACCTCTACAAAATCCTAGCTCTTGCTTGGCTTGACTGTGGCTCCAGCCTCCAGGTAATGCTATGTCATGTGTTTGGAGATGTTATCTTGATGGTTATATAAATTAATAGTATTGGTTAGGAGACAGTGCATCATAACTAGTTTTTACATGCAATGAATGTACTGTGTGTCAATGCACTGTGCAGTACAGAACTGTAAACACAAGGTGGCAGGATGATCTGGGTCTTGATTTTCTTTTTTTTTTTTTCTTTTTTTTTTTTCTTTTTCCTTTTTTCCTTTTTGGTAATTTTTTCTTTGGTCCGCGAGAAGCACAAACATGTTTGAAAAGTAGTAGTCAGAAATGCTGAAAGAAAGCAGAGTGCTGCTGCTCAGGTCTTTGTGAGGGCTCTTAAACTAGGATTTCCCCATCTGCAAAGCTGTTTTAAAGCTTCTCTAGCAAACAGTGGTCTAATTTGCAAATGAATGAAAGCACAGCTACTGTGGGGAGCTGTAGTGTTGTTCTACCTGCACTCCCACGTGTTCTGAAGTTGTATACACAAGTGAAAGAAAACGGCATAGCCTCGAAATGCGAGTAAGTGAACAAGGCAGCTAAAGGCGTGCATGTGCAATTGACTTTTTTGTCAGTTCTTCCCTACGCAGCAAGCTCAGAGCTTGGTGCTTCACATGAAGATCTCTGCAATTCTATCTTGCTATTGTTCCTAGTTTATGTCGGGCTGTAAGCCAGTCTTTGGGACTCTGGCTTAAACATACAGCTGCCTGCTGCTAAAGTTCTTGTTACAGTCTTGTTAACCCGTTCAATTGCTCTCCTCCCTGGAGCCGAGCTCTTACTGATGAATATGATGTGACCATGGCGCTTGTTGGGATCACTCCTGACACTGAGTACAGTGTTTTCTCGCAGCTTCTCAGAGCAGTTCGTGAGCTGTTGGGGCTAGAAGGCTTTGTGCTCCTTGTGCAAGCCTCTAAGGGCTGTGCAGTACTTCTGATTGCCTCTAGTTTGCCACGGGCAAATCTTTCCCTACCAGAACCCCATATAAGGAAATGTCATTTTTCTGCACTTCCCAAGTCCTTGTTTTGTTTTGGGGGCAGGGGGGCTGTTTGTTTGGGGCTGGGGTTTTTTTTGAGGTGTGGTTTTGTTTGTTCTTTTTTGTTTCATTTATTAATGCTTTCCCCACCTCCCCTGTTCTCAAATCCTGACTTGTAGCCTTCACTGTGTCACTGAATGGCAGAGTGTACAAGGAGCAGAGTAAGAGCTATTTCTTAAGCATCATTTCTGCTCTTTCAGGTGACTGTCAAACAGAAGCACAGGGCCTCCATAGTTGATGTAGCTGCTCTCAAGCCTCATCTAAAGCCGGTAGGTGACCTGGTGCTGCATCTGATGATAGCAAAACAAGGTAATTCTGGAGGTAACAGGACACTTTGAAGGAATATAAAGCTAATACCTTAGCTACTGGTTTGTATTTGGGAGGGGGTTATATTAACCATACCTAACTTTTGAATAGACCCTCCTGCCAAACGTGGTAGTAGAAAAATGGGAGTTGACATCTTTGCAGAAGAAAGATGATCTTCCTACTTCCTCCACTGCTTCTTTAATTTGCAACATTTTATGGTCTTGAAAGAGCTCCCGGAGTTCTTGATTTCAAATTTGAGAGTGCTGAAGTATTGTACTAAGCATAGTGCTGAAGCCTGTCTCATGTGCAGGGCCCAGTGCCTTCTTGGGTAACAAGCCCTTGTAAAACAGTGCCATTGCTGATGCAGTTTTCCTGTCGCCACTGGTCTCCTTGCTCTGTCTAATGGCTCTTCGTGGTGCTATGCTTTGCCTGCAGATGTTGAAGGTGAAGCTGAAACAGCGTGTGCCACTGGAGCCCAGGTGGCATGAACAGCTCATGGCAGAAATAAAACAACCACCAAAGCTTCGGGCAGCAGCACAGGAAAAGAGGAGCAGGCCCAAAGGTATCTGCTAGAGAGTGACCTAGCAAGCTAGCAACTGAAGTCAGCATTGGCTAAAAATAATAGATGTCCTTGGAAATGAAAGCCCACTTACCTTTTCAATAACATTTGTAATGTAAAGGGTGGGGAGGAATACAAATTTTGTGTGATAGAGGTGGTATGGCATAAGAATAGTTATTTCTAAAAAATCTGTTTGTGGCTTATTAAGACTCAATGATATTTCAACTTGCCCTTCTTTTTATGGATGTTCAAATTTGTCTGTCCACTAAGTGAAATTACAGGATTTTGACCATCACTTAAGAATAAAAGATTATGTAACTACCGGGACAAAGCCAGGCTAAATCTCAAATTCTAATGTGTGGGTATCAAATTTGTAGTTTTCTTGTCCCAGCTCTGTCTCATTTAGTCTGTGAGTATGTGGTTTTTTGTTCTCTCTCCCCTGCAGAAATGCTTGAGGGATCAAATACTGCCTTGAACTCTCCAAACAACAATTTCTTACATCTCCAAGATACCAGTACTGAGTTTAAAACTACCAACACTAAAACACAGCAGCTGGGAGCAGGAGCTCAGGTGAGGAGCTTTAGGTGAAAGGACTATGGAGAGGCATACATACTTCAGGAATTAGAGCTGCAAGCATATACATGGCCTGGAAGGGAACAAATCTTGGTGTAGGAAATCTTGTCTGAAAAGTGAACAACTGTGGTTCACTGTGGGTTCACTGAAGTCCTTTCCTCTACAGAAGCTCATTTCATGTATTGATGTATTTTGATTTCATGTGGTATATTAGCTCATGGAAGGAAAACTTTATGATGTATTTTGAGGAAGGAACTTGATGGGTGAATTCCCATTTGTCTGTCTGTGGAGTTATTTTGGGAGCACTGTTTTTCAGTAAACCACAATACAGTCTTTGGGTTCTTTAACTCTTGGCTCTGTCATGAAAAGCTTGACTGCTTGGTTCTGGGATTCAGTCTGAGCATATTCTGAAATTCTGTGGAACAGAACTTAAGCCCTAACACATAGTGTCTAGCACAGATGCTCTGGCATACAAACAGGAATCTCTTTTCTGTAAATATTTCTGTGTGAAATGCAGTTGCCTAACTGAGGAAGACAAATATGAATTATAAAATCAGAAAATCTTAGCTATATTTGCCCCAGTCTGAGCTACTTGTAGGAATGTTCAGCATTTGAGAGTCCTGTGGTTGATGTATTACTGCTAAACTAGATGGACCTTTATATGAATACTAGTATAATCAAATTTGTTTTTTGCTTTCCTATGTAAGGTAGAAACAATACTGTTGAGATAAAGCATTGGGTTTGAGTTGAGGTAATGAGTTGGGTTAGTCACAGTCTCTTGAACTGCTCTGCAGTGTTGCTACATGTGAGCTGGAGCCAAGAAAATGGTTCCAATGCATTCCATGGGTTGTGTGGGGAGGATTTTCCAAGGCTGGTTCCTGAAAAAATGAAACTTTAGTACTAGTATCTACTATTGGACTTGGGCAAGAGGGAGAACAGGTGAATTGGAAACTTCACTGACTTGGCTGGAATTTCCTGGCTGTGGAGTACAGGGGGAATTACCTTTATATTCCAAGAAGAAATAGAAAGTTTCTAAGTGTGCTCCATTGATTTTTCTCTCTGCTCCACTTCTGGCTGAGCCTTGAACATTTCTGATCAGTCATGGGTGTCCTGGGTCAGTGCACTTCTGGCTGCACATCTAAACCAGGTGACAACGTATGGCCAGTGGCCTGGTGGGCTCCCAAACCCTTGGGCTGGGCTCAGTGTACACTTCTTTAATCACCTGAAGATACTTTGCAGGAGAAGTTCCAATGCTAAATAAAGAGTCTGAGGAGGTGCCCTTAGAAAATAATTTCTCTGCAGTTGACTGAAGCTTGTGTAGCTCCTGCAGCTTCAAAACAATGATTGCGTGTTCCCAAAGGCCTGACTGGAATTTGCAGTAAAAGCTAAATGAGTGGTTTGAATATTCAAGTGGAAAGTGCAGCATTTCATTTTATTAAACTAAGTGGTGCTAATGAAGCCTCATCATTGCCTACTGACAAGCATAATTTCTGTAACCTCTGCTTTTTCTGTGATCTGAGCAGATGGGTTGGAGGGGGAGAGATATAAGCCTTGCTACCTTCAGAAGGCAGTGCTCTTGAGTGTCCAGCTTTCAGGGTGAATGCTCAGAACCTGACAGTGGGTTTTCTGCACCCTAAAACTCTCTCCACCTATCCAGGTCTCACTTCAAATTGCATGTCTCCTCCCATGAGTGCACCCACACCAGGAGACATTAAGCCTAAGTGTTTCCTGAGCACTGGACAACAGCAGCTGCCTCCTTACAGAGGAAGGTCCAGATCGTTAGAGAGAGGCCTTCAAAGCAAGCAACTTGTAAGTCCAATATGTCAGCAAGCAACCTTGGTCTGATGTATCTGGTAATGACTTGTGCCTTGATCCTCATGAAAGCAGTAGGCATGCTCTGTGGTTTTTGTCTTGGGACATAAGGTATACCCATCTGAAGCTGGTATATTATTCTCTCCTTGGAGACATCTTAAGAGAAGACTGGATGCTGTAATGTTCTTGTGGTGGCTTTCCCCTTTGAATGATATGAAATAAAGTTATTTCTCATACTAGAAGAGAAAAATACCATGACATGACTTGAAAGTGTCCATCAAGGCTTCCTTAAGCAGACTGTAATTGAGAGTGGGAATATCCTGCTTTCTTCATGTCCCTTCCTTCTCTCTAGATTCTGATATGCTCACAAGTATCCTTTTAGCTGCAGTAAAGGGCAATAAGTAGCTAACAAAATGTGGATAGCACAGCATCAGTGACTTTTAAATGTATAATATATATAGAACTGAAGTAAGTGAAGTTATAAGGCTCTGAATTATGTTTGTGGGAGAAATAATGGGATCTCTGCTTCTGTGCAACCCTCTGAATTATGGCCTCACCTTATTCTGCCCTGTCAAGGGGTGTTGTGCCCTTGTCTCTTTTTCCTTCTGTATCCCTCCTTGCCCCACCTTGGCAAGTCTCTGACTGACCCCTTTGATTCCTCTTTGTTCAGCAGTGTGGTGGGGGATGCAGGTGTGTTGGGGATTAAAGCACAGCTGTCTCTCCTGGCTGACCATGAGACCACAGCTTCCATTTGTATGGGGCCAGCAGGTCTCGGGGAAAGAGAAGGGCAAGAGAGTGTTGTGCTGTGGAAAGGGATTTTGTATCCAGGAGCGGCCAGGGTGGCATCTGTTCTGTGGCCTGCTCCAAAGGATAAAATGTCTCCAAGTAATCTTGAAAACTGTAGCAACCACTCACCTGCCTGTAGTAGTTTCTCTGCTAGTACTGTCGAAGACTCACCTGATAACTCCCCATCACAAGCAAAATGGGGTTTTGGAGAAAAATGCTCCTGATCCTTTGGGACCCAGTTTTGAGATGACCTCCCCAAATAGCTCCTTTCTTCATCTTTATCTGATGTTTAACTTCTGTCTTTCAATAGGACTGTCCCATTCCTACCAAGTGGCCATCACCAACTATTGCTGAGCTGATTGGAACCAGATATGCAATGATGGTGCTGGAAGGGCAAGGCCTGTTCCAAGGAGGTAGTGATGGTGTCTTTCCAAGAGCAAAGGTATGTTTCTCCTCCTTGTCTTCACGCTGCCCTTGCCTTTTCAAAAGCTGGTTGGTTTCATGGCCCTCAGTGCTGAACTTCAGAGGCACCCTCTGCCTCAACTTATCCTATTCATAACAGCTGATCTGAGTTTGGCCCTAGGCTGGAAATTTTTTTTAGTGTTTGTGTGGTGATGGCTTCTAATCTAGTTTAAGCTGTGTAAATTGCCTAGAAAGTAGCTCAGCCTTTGCTTGTTGCTTCTTGTCTGATTTCCGTGCAAGGGGAACTGACTGTCATGACCGTTGGTCAGCTCTGAAATCCCAAAGTAAATAGTTGGGATTTGGTACTCCTAAACAGTGAGACAAAAGTGCTTGACTCAGGCTCCCACATCCGAGTTGTGCTGTCCCACCTTGCCAAGTGGACATGAAGGTGGGGGAGTTGGGGGGACAGGGAAGGAGCTGTATAGCTCAGGGCTGTTGGTTGTTCATGTTTCTCGACTTCTGGTTTATCCCCAAGTCTCCTTTAGAGGGGGTTGGCAACCACCCCTCCAGAGCAGATGTCCTGAGTACAGGCCCTTTGCAACACAAGTGCGAGGAAGTCAGTGCTTCTTGGCTTTTGGGTCATTTTTTTTGCCCTCATTTATTTAGCAGTAAGGACAGAGTCAAAGGTTCTACTAGCAGAGCCATGCTACTTCCACAAGCTGTCTGATGCTCCTGAGACTGAATCCTTGTTTTCTTCTTGCCTTACTGACCCTGCTTTAACTTGCCTGTTCTATGACTATTCTAAAATGGCTTTCTTACCCACTGCTGTTTTTTTAGCTTTCTCAAGTTCTACTTCTCAAGATAATATCACTTCTGACTGCCAGCTGTGTATGAATGTGCTTTTTTTTTATAAAGTTCAAGCGACTCATCAGCTTCCGTATGACTCATTTTTTGCTTCAGGATTGAATTCAAATTTGCCCTGATTTAATCTCTTTGGGATTGCTGCAGTCTACCTCAAAGAATGTCTCTCTTCTTCCCTCTCTCTTAACTAGCTACTGTTACACTCTTGCACAATACAGCTATTGTTTGCTCAAGAGCCTTTTTTTAAACTCCTGTTGTCTGGCAGCTGCCCCAAACCTCTGCATTATAAAAACAGTGGCCTACAAGTAAGAATATTTTTGCCTTTTTAGCTTTTAATTCCTGTGTCTTTGCTATTCTTTATTGGACCTCTGTTATTGTATATGAATCTAAAGCCTTTAGAAGGTTTGTTTACGTGCTTGCTCTTTGGCAGGCAGTGGATACTCTTGGTACAAAGATGTTTCCCATTTGTATTCACAAATAACTTTCCTTTCCACAGATCTGTTTCAGCTGCCATAAGCAGATGTTTCTTAAGTGGCCTTACAACTGTTACCTCTGCAGCAGGTGAGCTGGTACAAAAGGACTGAATGAGGCGGGAGAAAAGAATGAAAGAACAGTGCTGGGAATTCTCAGTATTCATCAGTTGTAATACTGGATAGGAACAGGTTGCTGAGCCCTTCAGCTTTGCCTTGCTGCACAAGCCAGGCTGAAGTGTCTACAGCTGGGGAGGATGTGGAAAATCTTGTCTCTGAAGTAGTATCTCAGTTTTAACTCTTAATATTAAGTCAGCAATAGCCAAATTCCTGTGCTAGTATTAAATTAGTTTCTCTGAGATCACCCTCTGCATTTTGCTCTAAAGGTGTACTCTAGCTTCAGCCAAGGGCTTGAACAGGTTCTGGGAGAGGGTCTACACCAGAATCTTCTGTTGAGGAATGAAAATGAGAACTCCAGTCCTTGTGACTGGAAAAGGAGTTGAGCCTACTTGTAGCCACTTATTTTTCAGAGGGTTTCTGTTCATGGGAGAGTGAGAGAGAAACTTCAGGCTCATTAAGGCTCACTTTACATCTATTTGAAGCAGTTGTGAAGCACTGAATTGATTATAAGCAGCAAGTAAACAACCACTGGAAATTGAGCAACTGTCTGGTGGTAGTGCTGGGTGAAGTGTAATGAGCATTTGCAGATAAAGCCTTGAAGCTATGGATGTTGACACATTTCAAATTGTTTAAACTGCCACAAATAGGAAGGCTGGCAAACTGAATAGTGGAGTTCTCAGCTTGCTCCCTTTGCCATCAAGTGATTCTGCCACAATTATAAATTCAGACTTACTTGGGAATGCCCCCTGTAGCTGCAGTCTTGGTATCTACTGAGCTTTAATCAAATGATAATGCTGGAGATTTTTTTTCTTTTAAGGGTTGTCTGCTGTGACTGCTGCGTTAAGGCAAGTCTAGTCTTTACAACAGCGTATGGGATTTTTACATTTTCTGCTTTCCCTCCTCCTCACTTAGTCATAAGAAGCTTTCCCTCATCCCACTGATACCTCAAAACTCAAAGCTTGTTTCTAAGAAAATAGAAGAGGGAATAATGTGAGGTGTAAAAGTAGCCATGGTGACACAGATCTCTTGTCATACTCAACTAAAACAGCTCTGGTTCTTCTTTCTTTCTTTCATCCTGTGTAAAGTGGTTGGGATTACACTGGGCTCTATTTATACAAGGGTCAGAAAGTTCACTGCATTAATGTCTACCTTTTAAGTGCACTAATAAATCAATTGCATGGCATGCAAAGTGTCCTGCTAAGAAGGAAGATGTGTTTCCCTGAGAACTCAGGTGACTTGTGTTGTGATTCTAGATGTCCATGCCATTCAGAATGTGTTTGCATCTCCCACTTCAATTCCTAAAATTTTTGAGACTATCCAGAGAGGAGGATCCAGCTATTCAAGAGCAGAAGAGTTCCGAGTTGCTACGTGAAATACAGCACCGGCAGTATTTTGGGTAAGCTGGAAGAGGCTTGTTCTTTTTTTACCTTGAAAGATGTCACCAGTTACTTACACAAAGCTACAAAATGCAGACAGTAGTATAATATTGGGCTGGTCAGCTGAATGTTCTGTCGAATGGCTGGTTTTTAGCCACTGGTCTAACTAGCCCACAGTTCTCTGGAAGTATTGTGGATTTTAGGTGACCCAAAGGGGGGAAGTGTAGATGCTCTGAAATACATTTTCTGTTTTAACTATCAGGTTTGTGACATGGATGTAGAAGTGTCCATATTAGCCCAGATATAGAAGGTTCCTTGCAATAGTTTCATAGTATGACAATTTCCAGACCCCATCACATTCTATCCCCCATAGCTGGAGGTCTGTCACTACAACCAAGGAGTAGCCCCTTTCTACCTAGACATGAAATATCCTAATTGTGGCTCAGGTGTAACTGAACAGTGAAGCCAGAAATGGTCTCTCGGTCCCTCTACACTCATACAGACACTTTCCTTTTTGTCCCCTGAAAATTAATTACTCCAAAAAGAGATTTTGACAGTTCTGGGTGAAAAAGACAATGTGCAAATAAGTGTAATATTACAGGACTGAAAACATACATTATCTCTTCTTTATGTTTTCTATTTTTTTTTCCAAAGCAGTGAAATTTTCTACTGGGCAAACTGGTATCTTTTCTTTCTTCCTGTGAAACCATTCTTTAATGTAGCCAGAATAAAGACACAGTAGTTTCTGGTTCTAAGGCTGGTACTTCAGTTGCCAAAAATTAGGAGTAGTGTTCATTACTGAAGTTAATTGCATGGGGCAGGCAATGGTTTGGTCTGTGTTGTAATGCAAGTGCTGCAGAAGAGGCCTGAGTGACTACATTACTGTCATAATGCAGAATGACAAAAAAAGTCCTACTGCATGAGAATGCAGCCATAACCTTGGACCAGACACAGATATCCATTAGCCCTTTAGCTGATATACTGTCAGTAGAGAGAAGGTATCAGTAAATGAAGCTGTTCTGGTGCATTTTTAGCCTTCCTAAGTGGTGCTGATGGCTCTTTTGAACCTATGCATTTGGCTAAATCACTTAGCAGCCTGGGAGAAGATGGAAGAGCACCATGCCCTCTAACAGAAACATGGGTCAGCTTTCCTGCTTTTGTTTTTCTCTCTGCCCCTCCAGTGTACCCGTTGTTTTGGAGCCTCATGGCTTAGCACAGCCCCGGTGCTGTTACACAGCAACCATGGCAGACTGGCTGACTGCAGACATCTGTACATGGTGTGAGCAATACCTGTTGAATGTGGCTTCCAGTCAACAGCACAGCATCCCTCTCAGGAGAATTTCCTGGGCTTGAGCCAAACTGGAATGATTCTACTATACATTTCTCCTGTCACTTATGTACCTGAAATAAATGAAACAGTTTTATGCACCTACTGACATAAAGGCCTGAATGGAAGACCTCCCTGCTGGTTAGTCTAAGCAGGAAGCACAGTTAGCATTTCTGTATTGTGAAGTATTCTAAGGCTTTGTGGGTTTTAGAACTGTTTTAATTCTTTTTATGTGTCTTGGGGAAAATAAATGTTGAAGCACTATCAGGCCTCTAGCATTTCTTTCTTTGCACCTGCAGCTGTCATTGTTCTATGGCACTTTTTGCATTCATTGCTGAGCAGACTTCATCCAATGTACTGAGCACAGGGAAACTTTTAACCAAAAACCCCCCATTTGCAAGAGGCTTGGAAAGTGGAGCTCTCAGTTATGTGATCACATCACCCTGCATTTTGCAAACACTCCTTCCTGACTACTCATAGCACTTAAAGCTCACAGCTTTGATGCATGTACAATTGCAGTGATAGCTGCTCTGTCTGCTCTTTTTGCCTACATTAGGAACCAGATTTGATTTAGAGAGCTTGTTTTGATTTTTTTTCTGTGCACTATCATGCTTTGGTATCAAAGTTTTCTCACAGAAGTACCTCTCAGTGCTGTCATCACCTGAAGGGCAGAGAGTTGTTCTTGAGAAATTCTTGCTCATTGTCTTGGCCTTAGTCCAGTTTATTCCAGGGCAAAGGCTTATTTCAATCTTCCAAAGGGGTTTTTTTGTGTATTTAAAACAGAAAGAGATACTGGATAGTACATTTTTTTTTTGTCCCCAGGAATTGCCTGTATGGAAGGGATGTAGGGCCTGATGGAGTTTGCCTTGGTGAGTTTTGTGGGGCCTGGATAGACAATGTTGAATGGACTTGTAGCTGGAATGAGTCATGCTGAAGAAAATAATGGCTGGGAAGGGCCAGTTCTAGATAGAGGAGAAGGGAAGAGAGACATGTTTAAGCTGAGCCCAAGGTCTGCATCCAAACTGCCAGAAGGGTCAATACCTCCAGCTGACTTGCACTGGCCTGACTCTGCTTCCTCCCAGCTGCCTGTCTGCAAGCTGATGCCTACTTTCAGGTTTGGGCAAGCTCTGCAAGTAAATGAATGTGGGGAAGCTGGAGCCTGAGCTTCCTTTTGGAGCACGTTCAAGTGTTGCTCGTCCTTCAGTCAATTAGGAGGGGTGCAGCCTGCCTGCCCAGGTCCCCTCCTGTGTGTGCCAATCGCTGGTGCTGCTGGAAGGCACGTCCTTATCAGGCAGGTGGGCTCCTTGCAGGCTGCAGGGAATGGCAGCCAAGCCACAGGTGCGCTTGCTGGCAGGATGGGCACAGTGTGGGGCCAGGGGCATGAGGTGCTCTGGGACGCTTGCTGAGTGAGATAATTTAGACAGAGCCAGAAATGAGCTGAGATCAGCCTGCTTTGAGTATTGTGTAAGGTCAAAATGCTGCTCAGAGCCTGGGTGCGGCAGCAGGGAGAGGTGGCTGTATGACATTGAGATAGACTTGAGTTCACCTGTGGACCAAATGTAGTTCTTGCTTCTGTCTCTTACACATCTCTTGTGGGGTCACATGGGCTTGTTTCACTGCCTTTCCCTACTTTGTGACCGCGACAGGGGTGATGAAATGCCCTCGCTTGCAGAACAGACAGGCAAAGTAGGGGAGGGGGAGTTTGTGCTAAGGGGCAGCCTTCCCTGATCTAGCATGCTGGTGGGATAGCTGCTGGTCCCAGCGTTTCTCTCCACGCCAGTGGTTGCAGCGGCCACGGGCCAGTGGCGGTGAAACCCCTGCCGTGTCCCCTGTGCCCGAGGGACATCTGAGCCGGGACACCTCCTGCCCGCCAGGGGCCAGCCGCGGGCCGCGCCGCCCAGAGCCGCGGCGGCAAAATGGGGCTCTCAAAAATAGCTGAGACTTACCTCAAAAGCAACATGGACTTACCTCAAAAGCAACACAGATTTTACCACCCTCGTTTATTTTTATTTAATTTTTTCCTTCCCGTGGCACTTCCCCAAGCCAGGGAAGGTCCACTGGCACGCAGGGTGACAGCAGTGGGGAGGCTGAGGGGGAAGGTGAGGGCACAAGGGTCAAAGGGACAGAGACACAGCAACACAAAAAGGAGGTTTTAGGTGGAGGGGAGAGGCCTGACTGCAGTAACATCATGCGGCTGTCAGAGTAGTTTTGTGTCTGCTGTTTGAAACCAGCTGGGAAAACGTGCTCTAGTAGAATCACAGAATGGCTTGGGTTGGAAGGGTCCTTAAAGAACATTCCAACCCTGTGCCATGGGACACCTTCCACTAGGTCAGGCTGCTCCAGCCTATCCAGTCTGGCCTTGAGCACTTCCAAAGAAGGATGGTGAAGTGTCTGGAGGGAAAGCCTTATGAGTGAGGAGTGGCTGAGGTCACTTGGTACAAACCTTCTTGAATAACCTCACCCAGGGCGCTGCTACCAGCATCTTCTTGTCCAGGTTGAAGCTGGCTTTGAGTGGGGTTTTCACCCTACATCTGATTCAGTTTGGCTTAATTTTTTGTTGTGTTTTGTTATAAAGGATAAACATAAAGGCTTTCATTTTAAACATGAAATAAAACCATAGATGTAGTGTTGGGCAGGATTAGAGTTTAAAACTCTGTGGGCAAATTGGGGAAATGGTCTGGAAGAAACAGGAGGCAGTTGAATAAGGAGAAGTGGAAGGTCGTACCTTCACGTATTGAGCAACAATATGAACTCCCAGAGTACAGAGGAGGGAGTGATGGGTTAAGTAGCAATTCTTCAGGAAAAGGATCAAAAGCTGAATGCAAGTCAGCTATGTCATGGTGTCGAGGTGATGGAAAATAAGTTAAGGGGAGATGTGGTGTAATTGGATCCAGCCCAGCAGAGAGCAAGGAGAACAAGCGGAAATGGAGAAACCATTACCTACCAGGGAAGCCTGAAAGAACTGAAATTCTCTAACCCAAAGGAGGATAGAGCTGAAGGTTTTAAGCACATAAAAAGGCATAATCATTGCTCCTTCTCTGTGATGGAGGAGAGAAAAAAAGAAGGCTTAAGTCACAGCAGGAAAGGCTCAATTTAGATGTTAGGAAAAACTTTCTAATGACAGGGATAATAAAGAATAGACTGCCTAGGGAGTGGAGAGCTTTAAGATCAAGTTAAGCAACATCTGTCAGGGATGTCCAAGGTTTAGGTGATCCTGCTTGAGTTAGTGGAATGGACTGGTCTGACCTTTCAAGGTCCCTTTCAGCCCTAATTTTTCAGTGGTTCTGTGGGCTGACATTAATCTTCTTAATGGTATTTAAACAGTCAGCAGCTTCTCTTAAGTAACTGCTAGCAAGTCTCTTCTCTTGCCTGCGGTTTAAAATTAACTTAATTTCCATGCATCACTTTCGCCCTCCAGCTCCCAAGTCCTGCATAGCGAACCAGCAGCTGAATTCCTTGACTGCCTGTCAGTACCTTCCTTGTGACTCTGTAGCTGCCCGTGATAAAAAAGAAGGGATAGAAATGCTGCATATTGGTGGCTATGCCATCAGTGTGAGGGTGCCCTCATTTTCTGCATTTATATGCAGGAGATACGGTCCCCCTTCCTGAGACAGCCAAGTCTCATATGTGGGTATTTCATTTGGTGAGCTCCAGGGACTTTCCTCTCCATGTTGCCTGCAGCCTTCTGAGGCAGTTTTGTTTTGCCCTGCCTCTGACCAAGGCTGGCCTGTTTTTGAAAGGCATCATGACAGACCATGGGCCTTCACAGTTGGTTTGTCAGAGGGGTCTGGAGCACAGTTCCTATGAGGAACAGCTGAGTGATGCAGGGGTATTTAGCCTGGAGAAAAGGAGGCTTAGGGAAGACCTTAGCACTCTTTAGAACTACCAGAAAGGAGGCTGTAGCCAGGTGGGGGCCAGTCTCCTCTCCCAGGTAACAAGTAACAGGACAAGAGGAGAGGTTTAGATTGGATATGAGGAAAAAAATTTTTACTGGAAGGGTTGTCTAGTCCTGGAATAGGCTGCCCAGGGAAGTGGCAGTCACTATCCCTGAAAGTGTTCAAAAAACCCTGTGGATGTGGCACTTGGTGGTGCTGGATTAATGGTTGGACTCCATGACCTTAGAGGTCTTTTCTAACCTTAACAATTCTATGGTTCTATGATAAGGTTTGAGTGTCCAAGCCCAGACACTGCCCAGGGTGTGTGGCACTTCTGTGTAGCAATGTGTACAACAACAGGCACTATAATTAACACATTATCCACAAATTATCTCTCTTCAAATGGCTCAGACTCCTGAAAGAAGTTTGAATTTGGCCCTGGGGCTGGGCTCCCTGAAGTTACTAATGAAGGTGAATTACATTTTTCATCTGCCAACAACAAAGTAAGAGGGAGAGAAAATGTCAGGCTGTGATGAGCAGCATCTGCTTCTTGATCAATGCTGTTGGATAACAGGAGAGCTGGTGAGTGTGTCCTGATGGCAGCATGTCTGTAATTTCTTAGTCTTTTGCTTTAAACAGAAAAGATAGTATTTCCGTAGCTGGGAAAAACTGTCCCGAAGGAGAGAGGTAATCACTGCCTGAAAGTCTTCTCCTTTGAAAAATAACTCTCTACCGGGCACTGAACTGCATGTATGGAGTGTGGGAGGGTGACCCTGCTCTGTGTGACCATGAAAACCGGGTGAGTATGGCACCATGAGGATCAGAGCTAGGAGATCAGCAATACAGGTGATAGCCATAAACCAAAACAGGTTATCTGTGGTCAGGAAAATATGAGGTTTCCAAAACTTTGTTGCATACTCTTTAGTTATTTACCGGAACCAGAAAAGATGACATTTCTATAGCTGAGAAAAACTATCCACAATGAGAGAATATCTCAAGTATTGCAAATATCTACCCACAGAGAAGCAGTCACAATTTCTCCCACTAATCTTATCCAGTAGTTTTAACTAGCCAAGATTTGTGGGCCAAATATAGAGGCCTTCACATTTGCTTTTGTTAACAGAGCAAGATCACCGCATGACAAGCGTTAAGAACTTTATTTCATACGTGTGAGTAACGTATAAAGAATCGGAGTGGCCACCACAGCAGCAGGTTGGAACACAGGGCCTTTCACTCTCAGCTCTGAGCTCCTTCTTCCAGACCAGGCTGCCAGCTCCCAGACGTGGCGGGGCTGTTATTTATACACGTAATAAAACGCCACCTGAATGCAGCTGGAGTCCTACCTTTGAGCAATGCTAGCACGCC